ATGATACTTCATTTTATGGAAAAATCTCATTTTATTTATCCATTCATCTGTGGATAAACATTTGGGTTGGAGCTGTTATGAATAATGCTGTGACAAACACTGCTATACAAGTGCTATGAACATTCATGTTCACGCTTTTGTGTGGACATGTGTTTTTAGTTCTTGGGAGAGAGGGGAATTGCTAAGTCAGAAAGACTCTGTGCTAAAACTTTTAGGAACTGCCAGACTGGGTTTCCAAGCAGGCACACCGTCTTACTTTCCATCAGCAGAGCCACAGGGTTCCGATTTCCCCGCATCCTCAACACGTTATCTTTTTTATTACAGGTGTCCCAGTGGGTGTGAATGGTAACCTTGCATTTTTATTAAATTCTACTATGTTTCTGTGAGTTTTTACAAATGTACTTGCAGCCTAATGTTAAAACTACGGAATAGTTTATAGAAGGAAAGTAAATGAAATATCCCCTCAAGGAAAGGTTGTAACAGAACAAAGATAGGGAGCTGCCCTCTGAAAGGTGAAACAGAACAGCCCCAGAGAGAGCGCATGGCACTGAAGAATGTGGCACACGGGGAGGTTGTGTGTGGCACACTGGCAGGCTTATAGAAAAACGCTTCAGGCCTGCTTGTTCCCTCTTAATGTTCCATTCCCTTTAATTCACAAATGACTTTCTGGATCTGTAAAAAACAAACAAACAGGCCCTTTTCCAACAGGGTGGCATTCCTGACAAAACTCTATATTCAAATGTCAGCTGACTGGGGCGCCTGGGTGGCTCAGTCGGTTAAGCGTCCGACTTGGGCTCAGGTCATGATCTCGTGGTCCGTGAGTTCGAGCCCTGCGTCGGGCTCTGTGCTGACAGCTCGGAGCCTGGAGCGTGTTTCGGACCTCTGTCTCCCTCTCTCACTGACCCTCCCCCGTTCATGCTCGGTCTCTCTCTGTCTCAAAAATAAATAAACGTTAAAAAAATCTTGAAAATACAAACAAACAAACAAACAAATGTCAGCTCACAAACCGATTTGGGTTTTATTATTCTTTGCTCCTCCAGATAAGACCTACTACCCAACATTAATCTATCACACAGAATGTGGCTGTTGTTTGCCAACTGAAGAGCTAAAATAAATTTCCTATTTCTGTGCCTTGATGGGCCCTCTCAGGACGTGTCCAGGTGGTTCAGTGAGAGCCATTTTCACAGAATTACAGCTCTGATGGCCTAGGTCATTACCAGTCTCCACCTTCAGGCAGAAGCACTTAAAGTGCCCCAGTCAGAGGAGTGCATCTGCTGTTTTTAGCTTGAAAGATAAGGACAAATAGTCCTTAACTTCTCAATGTCTGTCCCCTCAGGCCAAGTCGGCCAGTGGGAGGCTTACCACCCACAAACTCTGAAACCAGATACCAAAGAGGAGAAGGTGTGTTAGTAAGTGACCTCAGGCATGCCCAAGGCAATAGTGAGGAGCAAACAGAAAAGGAGGAAGAAGAAAATGGGGGGGTGTGGGGGTGGGCGTGTAAACTAAAGAAGGAAGAAAATCATGCCACTGGGAAAGAGCCTGGCTTTGCCGGCCCTCAAAGGCAGCTGTGTGTCACAGTCAACAGTGGTTTACCCTGTGGGCCAGACTGCCCTACAAGGAGCCACAGGCTCTGCAGACTTTGCAAGAAGTCTGCGGCACACATATGCCAAGCATGGTCTATAAATGGAAAAGTCTTATTCTGCAGTTTTCCAAATACACATAGATCTGGTGTGGATGATGAAATACTTCTCATTTGTAAATGCGTGAGTAATGATTTTTCTCATTGTCTATTGTTTTTCTAATCACTGGACAACTAGAGCACAACAATGTTCATGTTAAAGGGTGGCTTTGTTTTTGAAAGGTGTAAAAGCACCTTCACGTAGGAGTTCATACGTATGTGTGTGTAAATATATTAATATATATAGGTCCTAAATGTCCACTAATAGGGGACAGGAAAAATAAGTATGGTATAGCACAGGGGTCAGCAAACTATGGCCCAAGACCTGTCTTTGTAAATAGTCTTACTGGAGCACAGCCATTCAACTTGTTTGCATATTGTCGATACGCTGTGCAATAGTCGGGACAAAGGCTGTATGGCTCAGAAAGCTTAAAATATTTACTATTTGCCCCCGTTAATGTTTGCGGACTCCTGGTATAGCACATCCTGAAACACACTGCAGCATGCAGGTGCATGCGAGTGAACAGGGAAGTAAGGGGGGGGGGGGGGGGGGGGGGGGGGGGGGGGGGGGTGGAATCCCAAGCAGGCTCCACACTGTCAGCACAGAATCCACTGCATAGCTTGATCCCACGAACCATGAGATCATGACCTAAGCCAAAATCCAGAGTCAGACACTTAACCAACTGAGCCACCCAGGTGCTCCCCACTGCAGCTACTTAAAAATAAAGTCAACACCAACTGCATATAAGAACAAGGAAAGAGGGGCGCCTGGGTGGCGCAGTCGGTTAAGCGTCCGACTTCAGCCAGGTCACGATCTTGCGGTCCGTGGGTTCGAGCCCCGCGTCAGGCTCTGGGCTGATGGCTCAGAGCCTGGAGCCTGTTTCCGATTCTGTGTCTCCCTCTCTCTCTGCCCCTCCCCCATTCATGCTCTGTCTCTCTCTGTCCCAAAAATAAATAAACGTTGAAAAAAAAAAAAATTTAAAAAAAAAATAAAAAAGAACAAGGAAAGACGTCCAGACACTGTCTCCTAAGGTGAGCGGGTCCCATTTGTTTGGGTTGTACTCAAGGACAGGAATTCCAGTGCTGGGGAAGCACAAGACCTGGGAGGGAAAACCGAACTCTGGGCACCGATGCCTGAGAGGGGCAGCCCCTACACCATCTGGCCCCAGTCCATCCCCAACCTTGGAGAGGCCTGGCGGTCCCTCCACAGCTCCAGCCCCTGAAAGACTTCTCCACGTGTCCGTCCCCTGGGGCCAAGGACTGTTGAGGGCTGTGGAGGGAACATCCCCTCTTCCCTCCCTGGTTCTGAAAAGGATAAACAGAGAAAGAGTAAGGATGGAAGCTCACATATGACCATGGCTTTAGGTCAGTTTGCCCACACTGAGCCCCAGAATCCAGCAGACGTCCCCGCTGAGGTAGAGCTGCGCCAGAAGGCCCGGGCCTCCCGAATGGCATGTTGACGCCCACTGACATAGAGGCGGCAGGCCCACGCGCATTAACTCCATCCCCACAGCAGGACACAGTAAATCCCGGACATGAACACACCCACGCTGTGGACCCTGACCCCTCCGAGGGCAGGGTGAGTGGGCATTTTCTCTGTAGCACACTAAGTGTGCAATCTTAGGCAATTTCTTCCCCTTTCTATTCATGACACAGGGTAACCGTAAGGCTTAAAACTCTGCATACCAAGGCCTGAGCACAGCACCTCGCATCTAGCAATGCTAATATTTAGTAAACGTTATTGTCTTATGTTCCGATGGCAGTCCAGTTTTTATAGTAAGGGCATATTTTGCTCCTGTGACCGATGATAGAACACCTGCTCCGACTCCCTCCCAGTGGTTCTGACTGTTGACTGACAGGCAGGAAACCGCTATGAAAAGTGTAAATCCTGAGCCAAACTCTGAGTACTAAAAAAGTACTAATTAGTACACACTTTACATACAAACCACAGTCAGAGGAAAGTCAATAGCCTAAAATGCTTTTATAATTATGAAAGAAGGAAAGAAAGAAAGAAAGAAAGAAAGAAAGAAAGAAAGAAAGAGAGAGAGAGAAAGAGAGAGAGAGAGAGAGAGAGAGAAAGAAAGAAAGACTCTTAATTCAAAATGACCAACTGAGCACAAAAATTCATCTCCTATACCTCCCAAGCCCCCATGAAAATGATAGAAAAGCAGCAGAATAAAAGTGTTAAACACCAGGGTGCCTGGGTGGCTCAGTTGGTTAAGCATCTGACTTCAGCTCAGGTCGTGATCTCACAGTTTGTAAGTTCAAGCCCCGCATCGGGCTCTGCGCGGACAGCTCAGAACCTGGAGCCTGCTTTGGTTTCTGTGTCTCCCTCTCTCTCTGCCCCTCCCCCACTTGAACACACTTTCTCTCTCCCTCTCTCTTTCAAAAATAAATATACATTAAAAAAAAAAAGTTAAACACCTACCACAAAGAGACTGGGAAAGGAACATGTCTGACAAGAGACTTAAACACATTCTGGAAAACCACAGAGGGAGGTCTGCTGAGGCAGGCCCTACTCTCTCCTGTATTTAATGACTGAACTTCCATTCATTCAATCAAACTCACAGAAGGTGCCCCGACTGTCCCTCCTATAGCCAGCTCCCTGGTTCCTGGTGAGCAAGGGCAAGAAAGCGAAAGGTGGCAGGCATCCTCTGGGCCTCTACCCAACACGAGTCCCAGTCCCTGGCCCTTCTACATAGGGGGTCCACAATCTCCTCTTCAAATTGGAAATCAGAAGGGAAAATACAAAGTGATTTGCTCAAGTTCAGTGCAGCTGGGGGCCAAGCCCGGCTCGGACTGGGGCCTGCCCCACACCACCTACCCCATTCCCCACCCGAAGCCACCCACCACCAGCACATCTTTAAACCAAAGTATCAGAGCAGAATAAAAGCACAACTTCTTGCCCTTTTACAGCTGCTGAGTCAGCGGGGAAGTGGGACACCCAGGGAAAGGCCACACCCAGAGCCCCTCAGGCCCCCTCTCTCCTTACAGAGCAGTGCTTTCCTCCCACTTCTTTCTACAAAACTGGGGTCTGTTTTGAGAATATTTTTTGAGGTGCTGGGAGGATGACACATCCATCATCGCTTACACTCTAGAATCCACAGAGCCTGCCCTGCCCCCTGCAGATGTCCTGCATCGTCTGAGAAGCGGCCACCCGCTCCATCCCACAAACAAAGAAAAGCAGAAGGAACAAGAGAAGTATACAATGGTTTAATAGAAACCACTCAGTGACTGTAAATGATTCTATACAAAATAAACCTTTAAAACTGGTTAAGAAGTCACACCCACCACAGGAGGTGATCAAACGCATCAGGTGAAGTTACCTAAAAGGTGTTTGCAAACTGTTTAGAATCAGAGCAGAGGCCTGCAGAATCTTTAGCTCTTCTGTCCACAATGTTTCTACCAAAGTTAGTTGGTTTACCGAAGCCACTTCTTCATCTTTCATATGAGAAACCTGGAAAGCATTTTAAAATTATTTTTTTCTTGCAGTAAAATATACATAAACATAAAAGTGACCATTCTGACCACTTTTCAGTGTATACTTCAACGGTACTAGGTACACTCACAATGTTACGTGAGCATCGTCACCACCCACCCCACAAGTTTTCCATCGTCTCTAACGGAAATTCTGTACCCTATTAACACTAACTCCCCAGCCCCTGGTAACCTCTACTCTACTTTCTGTAGACTCTGAATTTGCCCATTCTAGATAACTCATACAAGTGGAATCATACAGTATGTGTCTTTTTGTATTCTAGTTTATTTCACCTAGCGTAAGGTCTTGAAGATTCATTAAAATTATTTTTCAATCCCAGTAATGTTTTCATTAAAATGAGTTGATTTCTCATTTAATTAAAACATTTGCTAAATAAAAATATTTTTTAAAAAAAGAGTACTTGAAAATTTATCCAATATAAACACAATGCTAACGGTCAAAAAAACCCCAGAAATTACACCAGTGTTCATCTATTTAAGCATCAAACAAACAATGCCCGAATAAGGTGTAACAGCAAGTACAAAATAGGTAACTTCTTAATCAAAACACTTCTTTAGCAGAAGAATGCGATATTCTAGAAGCATACCTTTTGAAGCACTGCATTGGTCTCCTCTATGAAATAATGGCATATTTTCTGGGCTATGTCCAAACTTCTCTTCTCATTTGTATCTGAAATGATTTCTCCAAGAAGTATTTTTTTCCAGCATGTACTAGAACCAAATTGTTCAGTAACATAATGTCAGCAGGCTCTCAAAAAGTAAAGAAGGCTTTTACACCTCAACACAACACACAAACTCTTCTCCTGTTTTTCTAGAAGCATAATAAAACTCACTAACCTCCCTAACCTCCCCCCACAGATTCCCTAACCTCCCCCCACGTGCAGCTCCTGTGTTGAAGCAGACAAGGTATAGAAGCAAGAAGGAGGAACAAGCGAGAATAAGAATCAAGGCAACTGCCGCTCTTTTGAGGGCAGGCGCTGAACTGTGTTGTCATCGCAATCCTGTGTCTGGCACGTAGTTAAGTGGAGTCATGTCCACCAGCCACGGAAACAGAGCAGATGACAGAACAGGAAGGTGAGTTCCAGCCAAAAGGACTAAGGACTAAGGAAAAAGGTAGAAGAATTTTCCTTCTCTTCAAGTGACTTTCCTAAACTATGGTAAACTGGACAGAACATGTTTCACAAAGTAAAATGCTCTCAAGATGGAAGGAGGAATCCACGATGAAGCCTTCCTGTACACACAGGTCATTCCCATTTTATAATCCAAATATATGTAGGAAAAGGGATTGAGGGGGCAAGTGGGGCCAACTTTCTGCAGGCAGAGGAACGTAAGTGCTTCAGGGTAAGCAAGAGGGAGCCACAGCAAGATCTGAACCAGAAGGTGGCAGAGCCAAAACTACATGCTAGAAAGCAGCACTAAGCAGAGAGGAAGAGAGTGGAGGAAGAGATTCTGGATGCAGAGAATCTGAAGTGGAATGGCTTAGGAAGGGAAAAGTAAGGTGACAAGTGTCACATCAGAGTTGAAGTATACACAAGTCACTTAGAAATTCAGAACAGCTGGCAACCCACACAGGGAATAAAGTCTTAAAGGTCTTGAGCTTTAGAGATTACAACTGAAACCTCAGGAGTAGCTAAGTTTTCAAGGAAGGTAGGAAGGATGGATGGATGGATGGATGGATGAATGGAAGGAAGGAAGGAAGGAAGGAAGGAAGGAAGGAAGGAAGGAAGGAAGGAAGATATGCTATATGCTATTCCATATATTCACTAGATGCTAGGCACAGTGTTTCATATAAAACAATCATCTAATTGAATCTTCACAATTACCTAGCAAAGAAAGCATTATTATCCCCATGTTAGACACAAAGCAACTGAGAATTGGGAACAGTAAAGAACCCACCCTAAGTGACAAAGCTCAGGAGAGGTGGAAACAGCATGCAAACACAGAGCCGGCAGAATCCCGGCCTTGGGCTTCTTCTGCCACACCACTCCAGACCATTAGGAGTAAGTCAAAGGGGGAAAAGCGGTCCAAGGGTGACCTTTGAGAAACAGCCTGTTGTTTTATTTAATTTGAGGTATGTGCCTAAGGACTTATACCTTTTTCCAAGAAGGACTTAAAGACCCTTAACATGAGCACACAGGAGATGAAACAGGTGAGATGAATGGACAGGAAAACAAGACAAAGGAATATTAAGGAAGAAGGAGAAGATACAACCAGGATACACTGCATGCCTTAAAATGCTACACATTTGAAGAAACCACAGACTTGCCTCTGAGTTTTCTAGCAAACAATAAAGAGAAAGAAACGTATCAGACACAGAATCCACAATGACTGTAAAATAAAAACACCCCACCTGCTGAGAATGAACACAACTCTTTCTGCTGTTGAGACTGGGGAGTAAGTTTTCTCCCTGAGTCCCTGCAGAAAAAGAGGTAAGCCATATCTTAACAGCTGCCATTGAATGAGTACCAGCTACTTGGAGGCACAATGCTAAGGGTTATCTCTACGCATCAATTCATTTAGTCCTCCCAACTGCTCAAGGACCGGGTCACCATCTTCAGCAAGTCCTCTTTTCAAGTGGTTTCTCTCACCTGAGCTTTTGCCAAGTAGTGGACCCGGGCTGAAGGAGCTGCCTGGACCAGGCAACACGCAGCCACATAAGCGGACAGTCCTTTCCGTGCTGGGGGAGGGACTGGCAGCCTGAAGGTAATGTTAAGGAGCCGAACCAGGACGTGTGTCTACACCGGGGGCTCCTCTACCCGCCTCCCCCATGGAAAGGCCTCTCCTTTAGCAGGGGTCTGGATCTGCCCCCGGGGAGGATATAGCTCCCCAAGAAGCGATTTGTCCCCAGGGGAAAACTCGGTACTCAAGAGGCTTCCCCCTGAACAGTGACGATGCATTTTTTTTTTAAATATTTCCTCTAAACAATGCAGGTCACCAGGGAAAAATACCTGAGAATAAAAAGTTCTCAGGGCCACGTACTCTGATTATGACTCTAAAACCAGAATTCCAGAAATGGCAAAAACTTAGAAGTGAAACACTCACCACGCGGGCAAGTTCCATAGAGAATAAGCCACCCAGTACACAATGGCATATCTTCCTCCTCCCAGGCTGACTGTTTGAACTTAAGCTAAAAGAAGCCCCTGGGTTATGTCCAGGTTTAAGTTCTGCTCATGATCGACACACGTGAAACTTACAATTCTTCAGCTTCCAGACATAACAACTTAAGCGCTGTGAGTAACCTCCAAGATGGTCCATCCCATCCAAATGTCAAATTTCTAAAGCATAAGAACAATGACACACCTGTCATTTCAGTACCTCATGACACCGTGGCAATGGCTGAAGAGCCAAACATTTTCTGAAGGGGCTGAACATTATGTAACATTTCGTATGGCATCTTGGTCACAATAGTAAAAGAGAAAACTAAGTCCTCAAACACGTAAGAAGAAAGCCAGAGTCAAAACAAAACAAAACAAACAAAAAAACCCCACAAAACTCTTTCTTTAAAAAAAAAAAAAAGGTAAAAAACAACCTTCCAACAGATTGTGATAAGGAGCTGAGCCTGGCCAGAGCCACAGGCCCCAGAGATGAAAGGTGAAGAATGTGCATCACCCCGGGCATCAGACAAATGGCAACCACCACAGCCAGACTGCTCTCACACTGCTACTGGATCATTTCAAACTTGGTTTCATTTACAGAAGAAAATCTGAAAGGAGAGCCTCGAACCCTGTGTATCCCACTTGGCGTGGAATCACCTAGCCGCCCCCGCCAGCCCTGCTCCCTGAATGCCTGCAGCACGCCGCAGGGTGACTGAGGGCCAGCGAGGCCTGCGGCAGCCCGATGCCATCCCACCTGACCACGTGCTGAAGGCACGTCGGTCTCCCAACCGATATAAACAGGGCTTTCTTTTGGTTCGATCATTTAATACTTCAACTTTGTATCTTATATTCCCAAATAATCTTCTTGAAAAGTATCTTACACTCTCGTGTGCCCGCATCAAACACGATTTAGTACACATAGTAAATGCTCAGCAAATACCTACCTGTCAACTGGAACAAGTCAGGAGGTATCTCAGACCTACAGAAACCCTACACTCCATTTTCTCATTAAGTTTCCTGAAGGAATAATTTTAAGAAACACTCACTCAATAAAGTCACGATCCTTTAAAATGGAAATCTTCTTGTTCATCTGTTTATCTGTTGATGGAAGATATTTAACAAGTATATCTATATAAAATAAAAAGATCAGAATGAAATTTAGGGTGTCATTCGACAGACATGCGCACCTTCTAAAGTTATTCTACCTTCTCAACAATCAAGACGTGTGTGAACAGTTTTACCTAATTCACATCGAAAAGCTCCAGTGGAGTCCAAGTCAACGAATCTTTATTTGGCCCCTGAAAAGCTACAAGAATTCTAGGGCAAGGGACCAAACATCCACAGTCTCAACGCATGTTCCCACTAAGCCAATGAACCCACAAAACCAGGTCGTTAGGACAGTGGCAGGATGCTGGGAAGCTACACTGACCAGAAACGCAGGAGCTGTACAAACATCAGGAATTGTTTGGAACATAAAGGCTTCAAGAGCCAGAATTCAAAATTGGATATTTGTGATTGTGATCATAAGCAATAACATGCAAAAATTAAAGTTTTGGGGGGTAACAGGGTAATGCCTGATTTTTCTGTTTTTAAAATTTCTCTTTTGGGGTGTCTGGGTGGCTCAGTCAGTTAAGCGTCAGACTTCAGCACAGGTCATGATCTCGTGGTCTGTGAGTTCAAGCCCCGCATTGGGCTCTGTACTGACAGCTCAGAGCCTGGAGCCTGGAGCCTGCTTTGGATTCTGTGTCTCCCTCTCTCTCTGCCCCTCCCCAGCTTGCTCGCTCTCTCTCTCTCTCAAAAATAAACATTAAAAACATTTTTTTAATTTTCCCTTCATATTTGTATGCTTTTATTTTTTAATGTAAAAATAACTAAAATGTAAACTTTGTTCAAAACTGACAAATTAATATTTCATGGTCATCAATATTAAAGCTATTCTGATAACAGGAGGTTAATCTCAAAGCTAGTTTTCTAAGAGACCCAGCAAGGCCCAGTTTTTGCTTTTTTATTTCTATTTTGAGAAATAGTATTATTATTCTGCCTACAGGATGGAGTTGTTTCACCTTGAACAAAAGTTTCCATTTCCATCAGAACTTGTTTTAAAACTATCCCAAATTATGCATTCAGTAAACCTCTGGCCATATTTCTTCATAGCCTAGAAAACTATTTCTCTGCTGCATCAAGAGAAGGGAAGAAATCAATTTTCTATGTACTGTTATTAATATTACATTTGGAATTTCCACAGCATAAATTTAATAGCTCAATTATTTCTTTTAAATAGTAATACCAATGATGGCTAGTTAGTAGGCCGCAAAAAATAGAAATGAAATCAAGATTTCATCATGACATTAAACACCCCAAAATAAGGACTATGTAAAAGATCTATTCCTGTGATTACCACAGTGCCTCACGCAGTAGGTGCTTAAATAAATTCTTATGTTTTGCTCTCCAATCTATCCTGTATTTAGTGACAGTGACAATGTCTCAGTACAAACATTTCTATTTCTTCTCATCTTTTCAATATTATATTCATTTCCTCAGCGGTTTTCCTTTTCTTCTGTTCTACTGTCCGACCTAACCCAACACAACTTTTCTCAGTTCTTCCTATCCTCGATATCGATGAAGGCTTTGTTGTTTCACTGGCCCTATCTAAGGGAAGATAAATGGTATATATGTTAAGGTTTTGCCATTTTTACTAAAACTTAAAAAAACTATATCCCAAGATGGGGAGGAAAAAAGAGTTCTATCATCTTAGTAAGAACAAAGTTGATTCCAACCTTCTGAGACATAAACACAAGCGTGAGGATTACGGATGGAAACGAATCCATACTCCAGGAGCAGTCGCTGATTATCATGAGGGCCATAGCAGATGAACACCTCTTCATGTTTCCTACAGCTTGAAGCTGTTCTAATTTCATAACAGCGAGTTTCCTCATTAAATGCTGCTTCTACCTAGAAAGGAAAATTGTTCGAGTTTTTTTAAAGCCAAGCATACAACTAAAAATATTAAGTTATTGTATTAATTTATGGCAGATGCAGCTTTCAAACACTCATCACTGAATTTAACCACCCGTGGAAAAAGCCACACCTACATCGGGGCCTCTTGTTTGCCTCCACGTCACCCCTCCATAAGAGAGGGGGTCCTGCCCGAGGATTCTCGGGATGGCTGCACACATGACACCTGACAATGGACAGGTAAGACTGACAGCTGTTTACCAGTCACATATACAGCAATAAGGACACACCAGCCACACAGGGCTAACCGGGGGCTATACTCAGGAGCAGTGTGACCAGCAGGGGCCATGGGGAGCAGGATTTGGAGTAACGAGAGGTGACCCCGTGGCTCTCATGGGAAGATGTGATTGCTTGCTTGAATAGTTTCAAGGGCTGGCGGGAAGGTGAAACCCGTTAGGTTGAGGCCAGGTGGGGTGCTCTAGTCTAGCTGATGGGGCCACCGCGGGGGGTGGGGTGCATATCCAGCGAGAGCCGGGGAAATCAGCCTAGCCTCTGGGGGGCCCTGTGAGACCCAAAGACATCAAGGCAGCACATGAATTTCAGGTTTTACAATTCACAGCCTTTGAGCAGCAGGTATCGGTTGACACAATCACGTGGATTTTGTGACAATTCTGTTAGTTAATAGATGAGAAAGGAAAAGATGACCTACCTGCTCTCCACAATAAAGAGCGGGTACAGGCACGGAGGCCTCCATACTAAGCAGTAAATCCCAGTGAGGGCAAGGACCAGCAACAGGCTGAAATTGCCAGCTTGCCACACAACAGATGAGGGCTATGGTCTCGAGTTATGGGCCAAAAGCCAGCTGCAACTCTTTAGACCAAGGACCCGCCATCTTTTTTCCATAGAGGGCCAGAGGGCAAATATTTCAGGCTTTGCCAGAGCCCTGGGGCCACATGCCCACAGGCCGTAGTTTGTGATGCCCCTACACTTGGCTGTGAAATCACTGGTTTAGAGCACAAATGCACTAACAGCCCAATACAAATAAAGTCACGCCAATGAGGACTCAGTCCCTGTGTCCAGCATCCTATTACACTGCATGCCCCCAACATTATTTCACTGACATCAATCACAGACACACCCATCTAACCTCCACCTCCTTTGCTTAATACTGCCAGAAACGCAGATTTCTACAAAAGAACAAGCAGACAGGCAAGGAGACTGCCTCGGCCTAAGAAAGCATAGTACAGGCCTCCCAGCGCTCTCCTCTCACTGGCATGTGGGCTAACCAGATGCCATCGATCTTCTCCATATGGGGTAGAGTATGAAGAGAACAGCATGGGCAAGGGCCCAGCCAGTGTATCTCAAGTGTACCCTGAGCAGGTTACAGGTAAGCTGACACGTGGCTACCTCTGCTCTCGAAGCCAGGCACTTAACCCCAGCAAGCCTACAAACATCATCATCTCCGTTATGTGCCACAGGGGGAAAGGGCTGGGGACGAGATCTAGGACTACCTCCCAAAGAGGGTTTCTTTAATATTTCCCCAACTCCATTTCCCCACAGATATCCATCCATTCAGTAAAGGTTTATCGAATGCCCACTAGGTGCCCGGCCCCGCAACGAGCACTGTGGTTACAGGGCAGAACAAGGCATAGTCCCCGTCCTCACACAGCTCACGGAGGGGGTCGTAAGTCAGTCAGTGATCGTGGCAAAGGTCAATGCTGACAGCAATGCCACCACATGTGAGAGGGAACAGGGCAGCAATCTGGACCTCAACCCCCACGCTGGCAGGAGGAGGAGGATGCTGCACCAAAGGTGAGCGTGGGGGGCTGCTGGTTAAGGTCATCCAGGGGACACAGCACTGAGCGCTGTGGGTGAAAACACAGCAAAAAAAAAAAAAAAAAAGGGACGCCACGAAGGGAAAACGGGGCTGGGAGAAAGGACAGAAAATTAGCTGGTGGCAGGCAGGTTTACCTAACGCCAACAACACCTCTCTCTATGGTTTCAAAGTCACAGGTTCTACACGTCAGAGTCCCTCCTGTCCGAACAGAATGTGCGCCCTCGTCAACTGCTCACCTGCACACGGGGGCTGTGGTTCAGCAGATCCAGGTACGGGGCGAGCGCACAGGTGTCTGGCTCCGCAGAAAAGCAGCGCCTCCGCCTGGGCTTCACATACACGGCCCTGGTGTTGACCGTACACCAGGCCCACAGGAGGGCACGGTAGCTAAAGATGCTCCCGACGGCCTCGGAAAACAGAGGCTGCAGGGAAGAGAAAAAGCCTCTGGAGGAAGAAAAGAACTCTCGCACACGGGCTCTCTGCTCTTCAGCCTTTGCTCTCAAGGGTTTGGGAAAAAGATTCACCACTTCTGGCTCCAAGCAAACGGGGCAGGTGTAGGCCTTTGGTAAAATCTCTAGGTAAGGTTTCCAGACGGACTGGTCCCCAGCATGCTTTTCTGAAACCAGAAAGGTACACAGAGCCAGCAGAGGAGATGGAGGAGGCCGCCATCTGTTAAAATGAGAAGCCAAACATAATTTAAATTATTAAATTATTAAAAGGCAGATTAAAAGAATTACTTTTATTCAAAATATGGAAGGAGCTAGAGACACAGATATCCCAGTGGTGTTTTCTGCTCCCAGAGGAACTGTAGCCAAACTGTGACTACACTCGGAGCTTATTTGACGCACCCGACAGGGGGTCTCTTGCCTCCTCAAACTTTCCTCTCCAGATTGCACCCTGATGTAAGTGCCCCAAAGAAGTCACACTGATAAGCGACAACTGACTCACTAACCCAAAGTTCCAGCTTTGTTTTTAGGGATTCCTTTTTGTAAACAGCTTCTCTGCTTCCAACTTGGTTCTCCCGTTTTAAAGCTTTTGCTCCGTTTCACTTAATTCACTTGGCTAAGCGTTATCAAACGTGGTAGGGAAAAAATGGGTGGAAAGAATCTAGACCTGCCTCATCCAATACAGTAACCACTGAGTACTTATAGCTATTTCAGTTTTCGTTTTTTTAATTAAACGTAGCATTTAAAATTCAATTCCGGGGCGCCTGGGTGGTGCAGTCGGTTAAGCCTCCAACTTCAGCCAGGTCACGATCTCGCAGTCCGTGAGTTCGAGCCCCGCGTCAGGCTCTGGGCTAATGGCTCAGAGCCTGGAGCCTGTTTCCAATTCTGTGTCTCCCTCTCTCTCTGCCCCTCCCCCGTTCATGCTCTGTCTCTCTCTATCCCAAAAATGAATAAACGTGAAAAAAAAAAAAAAATTTTTAAATTCAATTCCTCAATCATGTAAGCCACATATCAAGCACTCAATAGCCATATGTGGGTAATGGCCACCATACTAGACCAGGCAGAGCGAAACACCCATTTCTATCACTGCAAAGCTCTACTGCATGATACTAACCCAGACAGAAATTCAAGAAACTCATTATGTATTTGCTAACGTTTTAATTCCTAAATTTACCCACTCTATTACCAATTATACCTTGCAGTATTTTTATTTGTTACCAATAAAAAGATCTCATGTTGCATGAATGTATTTAGAAAAGTTTTCATTAATCTCACAGTCCAGATTCTACACTGCCAATTATCCTACTCAAAATTTCAGAATGATACAGAAAATGTTAATACAAAGAGTATCCTTGCTTCTACTCAGGTCAATAAAGATACATTTGCCTTCAGAAAAACATGTGGAGGAGATTAAAAGTCCAGAATTTACCCTGGATTAAGAAGCAACATAATCTTCCAACCCTCATAATTTAGAAACCCCTTCTGCTAAGGATCTTGCTCACTCTGTCCTCATAAAAGTCCCCCAAAACAAAGGCCCCCTATAACAAAAGCCAGAAAACAGTTCTCAGCTCCTTTTTTGGCCTTCTCTCTTCTCTGCTAAACAAAACTAACTCATAATGTCAACAGCTCTTCATAGTTGAAAGAGAATTCAACCATGTACAGTAAGGGAAAAATAAGAGTAACATTTGTCAAGACCTACTACGATGGAGGAGAAAAGGCTACGAGGAGTCAAGGTACTCAGAATGATTTACATCTATTCTTCCATTTTATCTTCATTTTCTGTAAGTAATAGATCAGGATTCAAACCCACATCCAAGGCAGCCTATTAAAAACCTTAAAAATGCAGTTTAAAATGAATCAAGAACAAACTTCAGAGAACAAACATGTATGAGGTGTACGAAGGGGTGGTCCTAACGAACGAGGCCTTAGTTGACATATTTGCTGATGCTGTGGACTTGAGAGGATAAGCACTTGAGCAGACAATCATGTGTGCGGTCACTTACTTAGCGATGTACGCCCCTAAGTAGCTTCTAATCACTGTGTCCGTGGTGAGCAGGCAACTCTCAGGCAACGAAATAATCACCTGTCCCTCCTTACCAAAAAGAAAGTAAAGTTTAGAACACCCACGCTTTGAGAAGGACCTGTGAGTACAAGTTCTGTGAAGTCCTTGAGTCCATGACCGCCTCCTAAGAACCCAGCAAAACCCAACCACGGACACCAGAACCCACGGTCTGGCTCCCACGTCCCTGGGTCAGCGGATGCAGGCGAGACTGCTCCGATGGCAGGAACCGCAACCCCAACAATCAAAGGTGACTCATTTGACTGACATCCACTAGCAGTCAGCCTTTCACCAGCGCATATGGAAACACTTTGACAACTCACATCGCATCGTTCCTTCACTTTCTTACACCAGGGAACAGTGCTAGCTGTGGGAAACGACAGAAACCATTCCATCTGGCGAAATGTGTGCATCCAGTGACTGGTCCCAGCAACGGCCTACTCTCCATACCACCTGTGCCAACTAGATAAAGAAAAGGCAGCCCACCCGCACAAGGACCGCATTTCACTACCCGCAACAGTGTAGTTTTCATTTCTGCCCACTGAGACAGGAACACAGAAAGAAAAATTAAGATGTCAAGTAACAGACACCAGGAAGAAATAAAGCATTAAGAAGGCTGATGTTAATTAAGATCCTGGCTTTCATTATAACTGGCATCTAAGTTGGTTAAAAGTCTCAGCCAAAAATCTTCTGGGTTCAATTTCTAGTTTCAATATATGTAAATGAAGATCAAGTTGGACGGTCCCTAGAGTCCCCTCCTACTCCAACAGCCCACAATTTCAAAAAGCCACTTAATAAAATGCTCTGTATCTTGACTGGAATAAATCTCATCATCATCAACACTTAACAAACTAGACCCTTAAAATCTGTGCATTTCACTATGTGTAAAATACATCCCTAATATTCAAAAAGTTGAACAGAAAGCCATATTTGAAAGCAGATGTGAAGCAACTGCCAATTATCATTTCAGAATCTAAAAAAGATGACCTATATCTACTGCTTTATACGTGAGGCGTATTTCTCCTCCGGAAATAGAGCACAGTCAATTATATGTTCTCTCAAAAAATACAAATACTGTGAGCTGCCTAAGTGGCTCAGTCAGTTAAACATCGGACGCTTGACTTTGGCTCAGGTCATGGTCCCAGGGTTGTGAGATCAAGTCCCAAGTAGGGTTCCATCCTGGGCGTGGAACCTGCTTAGAATTCTCTCTCTCCCTCTCTCTCTGCCCCTCCCCCACTTGTTCTGTCTCTCAAAAAAATAAATAAAAATATTGTACAACAATGTGACTGTACTTAATATTATTGAACCGTACACTTAAAAATGGCTAAAATGGTAAATTCTGTCATATATATTTTACCACAATGTAAAACTTTAAAGTTAAAAAAAATGAAAGTACCATAATAGAGTTATACATTAAATGGTACCACACTCTTTAGGCCAAACATGTGTACACAGCTGGATTTTATAAGGAACTAAAAATAAATTAAGGAATTAACTTCTAGCCTTACAGAAAATCGTGCATTGGATGTCCTTTAAATAGAACAGAAAGAACTAAAATGGACCTGGGGGATCACCTATGTCATCTACCTTGTTTTCCAGGTGAGGAAACAAGCTGGGGGGCTAGGGGTTGGGGGTCTTAAGCTGAAGGCCACCCTGCACCCTGGGACCAGCTCCGAGGCTCTGCCCTCTGCTTCCTCAGGCGGCACTCATATACCACACACAACCTCTCAGATAAGTGTGGCTTCCTCCCCTGGCACATTTAAAATATGACCTGCTTTATACAATTTGCTGTGGCAGAGATGGCTAGCTGCCAACCTAATGTGCCTTCTCCCCTCCTGCCATTAATCGTATCTGGAGGTGCCAGGGAAAGGACACGTCTCTCATCCCTCGAAGCCAGCCGGGGCTGTGCACCCAGTCACTGTGGATGCAATGGGGCTGGAATTTCCTTAAAAGAAGGAAGCCTGCCCTTCCTTACCCCCTGGCTCCATGCTGCTGCTCAAGCTCCAAGAGCTAGACCGTGGACCTGAGGGTGCAGGGCTTCCTCTAGGATGTGCACAGAGAGCTGGAAGGAGCCTGGGCCTCTAACGGCCTGGGACCACCACATGTGCCCAGGTCTGCCTATCCAGGCTTGCTTACTTGAGAGCAAAATAAACTTCTACTTTGTTTAAGCACTGTTACTTTGGGTTTGTCTCTTATATGCAGCAAACTTAATCCTGACACAATTATATTCAAACCTATTATTAGGTAAAAAATGGCTGTGTGTCTGAAATATCTTTTATTCACTTGATCTAAACCACAAAAACAAAGCCGCAAAATCTATACTAGGCATCAAGGAAAAGAGAAATTCTCACCTGCAAGGATGTTTTGCTCATCAGCCCTCTTCCTGTACCTAAGACACAAAAAGAAAAAAAAGGGTAAATCCTATGATATCTTCAAGATCTCAGGGATATCATTTTGAATAAAAAAAATGCAATTGAACTTCAAAATTACATAAAGCTGAAGCTGGGCACCTCTCATCCTTTGGCTCCCAGGGGAGAGAGAGGATCAAGGAGCTGTTCTGGGAAATGTCCTGACCTCCTTTTGCATTTATAATCCTTGAAGAGCAAAGAGTCAAGACCTAAAGATAATCGACTTTACACACATCTGCTGAGGTGTCTCTTACAGGACCCTCTGAACTGGACCCTCTCTCCGGGGACCTACCAGCCGTGCTGGGGGCCCGCTCTTGATGCCCACCCAAGCTGAGAGGCTGGACCCTCAACCACTTTTACCCACTACCAGCACCAGCTTTCCAGCGATGATCTTGAGACCTCTTTGACTGGCTGGCCAGTAAAACCCACTCAGGTCCCACAAAGACTGCAGACAACACCCTCCCCTCCCTGACCACGAAAGCCATTAGACTCTCCTTGACCAGGTGAGCTCAGCAGGCGCAATCCAGGACCAGCTCCTCCCTGTGAACCAAGGCCTTGGCCAGAGCAGTCACAGCAAGTAATCTCACCAGCTGCACTGTCAACACCACCAACACCCAGAAATTAACCCTTCCAAGCCAAACACTGCCTTCCCGTAACAGACAGACAGCAGCTTTTCTGGCAGGCCTAGGTACACTGTGACCTATAATTATTATGAGGTCCAGAACGTTCATCTTTTCAAATTCATACTTCCTCATCTTTTTCTCTCCACTCGGAGGGACTATAATTCAGCAAAGGTCAATCCCTGCAGGACTACTAGGAGCTCCTACTTCATGGATGGATCTTCTTCCTCAAGTCCTGGATCAGGGGTCTGCCAAGTCTGATTTGACGAGTCATAACTCATCTCCCCACCCAGAAGCATACTGTCTGTTCAGTATTTGGTTTTAAGAACTTATTTAAATATCTTCTGTATGTCCCACAGCAGAGTTAATCACCCCTGTGGGCCAGAACCCTTCCTGGAACCAATTACTAATGGGAGGATTTTTTTTCTACAAGGTCATCCTTTAAAAGACCCGCATACTAATCTAAGTGGAAATCTCTCTTCAAATATATATACGAACAGAACCTGGCATATGAAATAAATCTGGGAGATACTTCGCCTGTATTTCTACAACATAGCGTTCAATATCAGAAAACAAATCACAGAAACCTTCACTTACTAAGGCAAGGTAGGAGGTGGCCATTAGGATCTTATAAAAGTAAAGCTTATTACAGACTTCCCAGCACCTTAAAATTTCTGCAATCATAAATCTAACTGGGAGACCCAGATTGGCCAGTGCTTTTGGTGGCAAAAGGAAATAGTAGGGTCAGTACTCAAATCAGGTGAGAGTCTAAAGACTGAATCCTGCTTGCAACTGAGGAGTCTTGCCTTGCCCCTCCACAAACCAAGATTAAGTCCCCAGAATTCTGTACACTTGGACAGACTCCCACAAATGTTCCCTCCCATCAGATTAAGAGCTAAAAATATATAAAGCATTTAGAGAAGATATGTTGAAATCCCAACCCACAATGTGAGGACGTTAGGAAGTGTGGCCTTCGATAAGTGATTAGGTCATAAGGATGGAGTCCTCATGAATGGGACTTGGTGCCTATGGCAGCAGTAGGAAGAGACCAGAAAGCTTGTCTAGCTCCCTGCTCTCCAACACGTGAGGGCCCAGCACGAAGATGGCAATTTGTAAACCTGGAATCAGTCCTCACCAGACACTCAATCTGCCCATGCCATGATCTTGGACTTCCCAGCCCCAAAACTGTGAGAACGAAATTGTTGTTTAAGCTACCCAGTCTATGGTAATTTGCTACAGCAGCCCAAACTGACTAAGACAGAAGGTTCTTTGCCCCTAGAAATGTAAGTAGTGGGCTCTGATCATTACCAAACCGTTTTGCTTTAGCTTCTCTGTGACCACGAATCTGGAGGTGGGCCCAGAGACAGTTGTTCCCACTAAAAACGGTAACTTGGGGCACCTGGGTGGCGCAGTCGGTTAAGCGTCCGACTTCAGCCAGGTCACGATCTCGCGGTCCGTGAGTTCGAGCCCCGCGTCAGGCTCTGGGCTGATGGCTCAGAGCCTGGGGCCTGTTTCCGATTCTGTGTCTCCCTCTCTCTCTGCCCCTGCCCCGTTCATGCTCTGTCTCTCTCTGTCCCAAAAATAAAAATAAACGTTGAAAAAAAAATTTTAAAAACGGTTAACTCTTTACCGCTCTAAATTATAGTTAGATTACTTATTTTCAGGCATCCCATTTAAGCATATGCCAATCCCTGCTTGGTAATTTTAATCCTATCCTTCTTAAGGCAAAGAGACATCTGAGGCATAGACAGGCCAAAGGCACAAGTCCATGCCTGACACTATGTCCTCTTGATCATCTTGTGAAGAACTCCATCCAGTCAAATCTAAGAGCATGGCTTTTACTATTTTTTGTGCTTGACACACAAAAACAGAAAGTTCAACATTCCGTTAGAGCCTGACAAAAAAGGTTTACCGTCTTAAATAGGAGTAGTCCTAACAGATAATGGCAAGTATTTTAGCCCAAAGTCACCATGTGTAACTGACGCACAGGGAATAACTACACACATCACCTCATTCAACCAGGCCCACACGTGGTTAATTATTTATCTTGGTGATGTATAAGGAAGTTAATCCGCTCAAAGTTAAATTATGTAATGGCTACTTAATCATCTCAGTGGCCAAAAGGAGCACTCAAGAGGCATACGATTTAATTTTCTGTAAGGTAAGTGTGCTGTACCTGCCCTGACGGCACAGCAGTCTCTATGCTACACCAGACCCAGAATCCTTCCAAAAAGCATCTTGGTCCTCTCCACGGATACCTCAAGCCCACTTCTGGATGGAATTGGTGGTATGCAGGCACACACCCAGAGCAAGCTGCCAACTTCTATGAGAGAATGTTCCAGAAGAAAATGCTAATCCAAACTCCACATCAAGCTCCTGAACTTCAGAAAATTATGTTAATTGGCCTCTGCTTAGGTGACTGTTAAAGCTACGGCCACACAGAAGGCACACAGAGGGCTCCTCCTCTAACACTTGGGGAGCTCAGCCACAAGCCAGCTGAGGCCTTCCTAAGGACTCCTCTCCTCGAGCCACACCACCAGAGAATGAGCACCTCCACTGGTTGTTTGGAACCTCCTTCTCTTAGAAAACTGTTTTGACTCACCTGAGCTATGGAATAATCCCATCAGCCTGCATGGCTTGAAAAATCCCATGAAACCACCATAAGCATGATGATAAGGACACCAGGTACATTACATAAATGTCTTCCCTATGAAGACCCAGCAAAGACATTTCCTTCAGGTCTCTTCCAGGAATACCTGCACTTCTGCCATGTAATCGATTTAATTTTCCTTACAGAACACAAAGACTCAGGTGTTGATCATATAAAGTGTCTGGCCACCGGAAAGACAAGTCAAATTTGTGGCTCACCTCCCAGGTGTACAATAAGATTTTAGAATCAGGGCTTTTATGTATTTTCTTATCCCTGCCTTCACCTTATTTTTCTATGCTCATTTGCCTTTTATAATTTTTGATATTATTTCACCACTTGGGAACTTCTCCCCATAAGCCACTTCAACTTATTTTTAAAAGAAGGCGAAGGATAAATAAATATGACAGCTACAAAGTAGGAAGCCTGACACACAACAGAAGATGTGCTCCCAGACAGAATACAGACCACCTTTAAGAACTACACGTGTCTTCCTATCACCTGGGCCCACACGTCTCTCATGTGAAAAAAGTCATGAGACTTGAATAACAGGCCTTACCTGGAAAACAAGCAGGTATTAAGTTTGTATCTTCAAACTTTCTATCTTTCAGCCACTTCTTAAGCTCTATAAATTCAGGCTTGTAGCTCTCATTCACTAATCAAGAGAGAAAAGAAAAAATGGAGAATAAGATCAATATGTAATCAGATCACCATTTAAGAAGTAATGGTCTCACACAGTCCTATTATAAAAGAGAATAAATTTTAAAATATGACTAAATAACATGAACTAGAAAAGAAAAACCATGGTCACCTCAAAGATTCAGGAAAAACATTTGATAAAATCTAACAAGGGGCGCCTGGGTGGCGCAGTCGGTTAAGCGTCCGACTTCAGCCAGGTCACGATCTTGCGGTCCGTGAGTTCGAGCCCCGCGTCGGGCTCTGGGCTGATGGCTCAGAGCCTGGAGCCTGTTTCCGATTCTGTGTCTCCCTCTCTCTCTGCCCCTCCCCCATTCATGCTCTGTCTCTCTCTGTCCCAAAAATAAATAAACGTTGAAAAAAAAAAAATTTAATAAAAAAAAAAAAAAAAT